AAGTGTAAGCAACAGCTAGTGTGGTGAGGAATCCCATTTGCTCATACACACATATGAAAAGGACCAAGAAGACAGGAGACTTGAGAATCTAGATCCAGTGTGGTCAGATTAGTGGGTAAACGTATCTGCTTTGTTAAAAGTCTCTGTAATGCCAGGCAGTAAATTTACTCATCGGTAATTTGATCTGCTAAACCTCTTTTTTTTTCTCTCTCCTTTTTTTGACATTGTTTCGTTAAGGAATAAAGCTAATGTGGTCCTCGCATTAGAGCTGATACTCTTCATACACCTGTCCCCGTATCCTGCCTCCCAAGTTTATATTCTTTCTATATAATTTGGTATATTTAAAAAGTTGAAGACGTGAGCATGTAGCGAATACTTTTTGCCATTTGTAGTGGGAGCCCATTTAGAGTGAAGTGATTTATGCTCTGTTGTTTTCTAATAATCTTAGGACTGTATGCCATCTCTTGATTCTTCACAGTCAACACCAACGGAGAAACTATCATCTCACGGCCAGCCCAATGCTGATAAGATTGAATGTCAAGCAGAAAATTACCTAAATGCACTCTTTCGAAAGAAAGGTAATATTGACATGCTTTGTCGTGTGCAGTAGAGAACTAAAATGTTTCCATTTTTCTCACACAGAGGTATTTCCTATGTAAATGGTACTTTGAGCCAGAATGTTTCCGTCTTGAGCTGTAATTTTTCTGCATATATTTAGAGACCTAGAAATCTCAGTCATTTGAGTGCTAGCCATATAGGGACCATGCCTTTTCTTAACCCTGTTCTCTAATCTCTCATGACTTTATGTTGTACCTTTTCCTCACTTGTTAAAACTTACTTGGGATCCTGGTCTTCCTTATTCTGTTGTTCCCAGGACTTCAAAAATTCTTTCATGTTCAGTAAGTGATGACTGTGTGATATTGCCTAGGTAGCTTAGGGTATGTAGCAATTAAGTCATGGATCAATCAAGTTGGTGCATATTTGCTGGTTTGCTAGTTCATTGATTATTGGGTGCTTTGAATATGTTTACTTAACATAAGTAAGTGAATTTTTGCTTCCTAACTATCTAAGCCAGCAGTTCTCGATCTGTGGGTTGCGACCCCTTCAGTGGCAAACGACCCTTTCACAGGGGTCACCTAACACCATTGAAAACACATATTTCTGATGATATTAGGAACCATGACACCACTCCTCTTTCGGTCTCCAGGCGGGTCCACCCACATGCAGATATGCCCACACATGAGTACCTGGCATGATGACATCATCCCACCAACCCCATCACATACACTCCTTACAAATACACATATGTGTAACAGGGTTGGCCATACTGTACTTAAGCGGACAAGTCACGTGTAGAGAGCAGCTGCTGTGTTGAAAGCAGCTACTCTGTTAAAAGCAGCAGTATTGGAGGTAAAAATGACACTTCGTCAATTATAATTACTGGGTAAATGTAAAATCATGCACTGTAAAATCATCAATGACTGAAAAAAAAAATGTGTACAATGGGAACTTACCTGGATGTTGATCGGTCTTTTTCCATTCAGCTGTGGTTGATATGAATACTGACCCCTTGTGATATAACAGGTATGTAAAAAAAAAAAACAGAATGGTAAATCATAGGAAACCTTAATGAACTGTATTTACTGAACTATGCCATGTATCATCTTTTATATTATTAAAGCTATTGTTATATATTATTTTCATTAGCAAACCATCCAAAGACAATGGATCATGTAGAGAAGAACATTAAGAAACGAAAATATAGTGAGGATTTTTTACAGTATGGTTTTACCTCAATAATTACAGCAGGAATTGAGAAACCGCAATGTGTTATTTGTTGTGAAGTTCTATCAGCCGAATCTATGAAGCTGAACAAACTAAAACGCCATTTTGATAGCAAGCATCTGAGCTTTGCTAGCAAGGATACCAACTATTTTAGAAGCAAAGCTGATGGACTCAAGAAAGCCAGACTTGACAGTGGTGGCAAGTACCACAAACAAAACGTAGCAGCTATTGACGCTTCATATTTGGTGTCACACATCGCCAGAGCTATGAAACCTCACCCCACTGCTGAGGATTTACTGTTGCCAGCAGCCAAAGACATTGTTCCAGTTATGACTGGAGA